GGCATTTGTAATAAATGCTCTATACACACACGCCCTCTTTATTATTTAACATGCTGCAGAACAGAGCTGCAAATGTGCTTCAGGTTCACATGAACCGAATTGTTCATCAGTTTCAGTATTTAAGAGCTCATAAGTGTATTAATGTATATAAAGGAATTTATGTGATCTAAATACGTAATAAATTGCATATTTTTATTAATTACCAATTTGTTTGAATTCATGGGTCCCGAAGGGTTTTCCGGGTTTTATACTTAAGCGTCCTCTAGTAACGGCTATTAGCCTTATCCTTATCAGAATATCATTTCGGCTCCAAAATGTGGTTTACAAATTTTACCCACCACCACCCCTTCAATCCTCCATAATTATTGTAGAAAATACATGTACTAGTTTCTTTTATATAAGGTGCCTATTGTTATTGCATGACTTTTGTTATTGTAGAAAACAGATGTACTAGTTTCTTTTGTTTAAGGTACTTATTGTTAATTTTGTAGAAAATATATGTACTAGTTTTCTTTTGTATAAGGTGTGGGATGTTTTTGGGCCCCACCTTCTGCTGCATTCTGATATTGTAAAATCTGTAATCTCATTTGGCATTTGTAATAAATGCTCTATACACACACGCCCTCTTTATTATTTAACATGCTGCAGAACAGAGCTGCAAATGTGCTTCAGGTTCACATGAACCGAATTGTTCATCAGTTTCAGTATTTAAGAGCTCCTAATAAAATTTATCAATATCTTTGGTATATGTTGGCTGCAAAAATATAGATTGAAACAAGACACATGCATCACCTAGATATTTAAAAATGTATTTCACTTTATGGATATAAAACACGAACTGTGTAGAGTACGTACGTTTTATGCGATAAGTAAAATTCGATGTTCTAGAAAAAGGGACCTGTCGTTTTTTGATACAAAATGATAACCAACTTTATATATTGAAAATATTGTGTATTTCGTAATTTATAAAGGGAAAGAACATTATGACTAACAATCTTTTTAATGTTTAGAAAACCTTTAATTCTGAATAACTTCTCCCACCTTAATCCCTATACACCAACACATAAACTTATATGCATAGAGAAGCCCGGTCCTCCGGGCTGCAATAATTGATTGAATTCATAGTAAGTGCATCTATGCACATTTTTATTGAAATCATTTTAAGCTGTAATACTTTGACTTACCATGATGTAGAGGAAATTGGATTTAATTCCAAAAGTAGTAATTCGATAATTTCTGAATCTTTCCTTTCTTAGGAGGATTTTTTTTTTCAAAAACACGTGTCGGTTTTAAATATTTTTAATATTTTAAAGAAATCAAAATTAAATTTGTGATAATGATACTTATATTTGATTTGTAAACTTCATAAAATGCCACAAAACAAAGATACATAAGGGTATATCAGTAAATGTTTTACCAAGACTAACTCTTAGCTCCTCACTAAAATATTCAGAACAGTTAAACTTCAGGTAAACTGCGCAATAATGTATCCAAAGATGGTGTAAATAAGATACTAATAAGTTACAAAGATCTTATAGAATATACGAATATAATAATTATCCCTCATGATCAATTAGCCTTAATGTTCAGGCATTTTGTCATTATTGACTGCTTTCTTTTTCAAAATATAAATGAGACTCATAAATTAACTCTAAATGACATTGGTTATTTTCAACACGTACACACACACACACAAACATCCCCCTCTCTCTCTCTCTCCTTTTAAAATCATTTATGGTTAAAATCCTCCTCATTTTTCTACAGTAATATATTCGTTATTCACCATATATGAATTCTGGGAATAAAAAGACTTCTTTTTAAAATAGACGACTATTATTTTCCTTCCGCAATATTAGCGCAATCTAGTTATTATTCAATTGATAATGTCTGTTACCTTCACCTTCTCAATTTAAATCCAGGCTGCCTTTTGTCTTGGGTACATAGTGTTTGTTATATGTACACCGATATTAGCCGGAACTGCCTTTGTTATTAATTCAAGCCTGACAATTTCTTAATTGAGCCCTTTAAAATCTAATTAAAAATCAAACACTAGTACCTATCATATTGAGGACATCATCGAGGATAAGGATTCACAACATGGAATATCAGTTTAGTTTGACGACTTTCCTTGAATTGAACATATTTTATTGACAATTAAAGCCAAAAGGATAAGACACAAGTTCTACAACAACTTAGATGGTCTTCTCCTTATACAAAATTTTATAATATTGCCAAAATAAAGAACAATTATTTTCAGTAACAATTAGTACCAGAACACAATACTATATATACAAAAAATTAAGATTTTTCAGAGAATCGACCACACTCTTTTAAAAAGGTATGAATAACTTTAAAAATTTCTACATTTTGTTGATCAGAGAATGAATTAACACCCCATAACATCAAATGGACATCTATAATGTACAAATTGTTGAATGATAATAAATTATTCATTAGAGAATATCTTGCTGTTGCATATTTTCTACAAACAAAAAACAAATGATAGGAATCCTCTATTTGTCCACATGAGCAATTCGGACTGTCAATTAAATTACAGCGAAATAGGTCAGAATTTAAAATACAATTATGTCTTAACCTTGTGTGAATAATATTCCAAAATCTCTTACCAAAAGAAAAATACTTTGAAGGTTTTACAATATTGCTTGACAAGCATTTTTAAAAACTTTTAATAGAAGTTGCCTCCCTTATGTTAATTTTAATTGCATTCCACTTTCTAACAGTATCTGGAATAAAGGATTTATTGAATAATTCTAATCTGCATTTTGGCGAGGAATAATTGGAGGAATTTGTAGTAGAGTATTGTGAAATGTTGCCTCTAATATCAGGTACTATATTTTGAATATAAGTAGGTACTAAATTGTTGTATATTTTGTACATTGTTACTAGATTTGTTCGATTTCTTCTATTTTCCAATGGTTCCCATCCAGTTTCCAGATAAAGTGAATTTTTAGAAGCAATAAGTGTAAAACCTGTTACAATTCTAGCAGCAAATAATTGAACTTTCTCAAGCTTTTCTATGTCTGCCTTTGTACACCCCGACCAAACTTCAACTGCATATTCCAGTTGTGGTCTGATAAAAGAAATATACATCTGGGACAAAATATCCCTTGACACATTAAATTTTAGTTTTTTCAGTAAACCAAGTTTTTGTAAGCCTTCTTTACAATGATATCAATATGATCAGACCATCCCAAATTTGAAGACAGAAGTATCCCAAGATGTGTATGTTGTGTGACTCCAGCTTTTACATAACCAATGGAAGAGAGCAGATTTCTGTACTTGACTTGTTGTGTTCTATTGCTTAAATAACTTTCAAACCATTTTAGCATTTTACCATTAATTCCATACATTTGAAGTTTATGAATTAAGCCTTTATGCCATACTCTATCAAATGCCTTGGATAAATCACAGACCACCATACAGCAGAATTTACCTTCATCAATACTTTTCACAATAGAATGGTATATTTCTAGAAGTTGATATACAGTAGAGTGTCCGGGTATAAAACCTGACTGATATTTATAAAAAAGATTTTTTGAATGTAGGTAATTGTACACATGTTTGAAAATAATTCTTTCAAATATTTTACTTACACAACTCAACAAAAAGACAGGTCTGTAATTTGAAGTTATAGAGGGGTCATCCTTCTTAAATAGTGGAAGAACATATGCCAATTTCCAACATTCAGGAAATGTTTTTAGTAATAATGATTTATTAAATAAAATACACAGTGGTTTTGATATAGTATTTTTACAAGACTTTAACATTTTGCGACTAATGTAGTCTGGACCCACTGCTTTATTGACAAGAATTACTGAGATTATGTCTGTAATCTCATATTCTTGAATTTTTATTTCTGGAAATTTATCATTACATCTAATTTCTATATTTGGAAGTTCATGGTCACTGTCGTCTAAAAAAGTGATAAATGTAAAATACTTATTTAAGAGTTCAATCTTGTCAGAGTCTAGTATTGCAAATTTATCTGTGTTAGTGTCATTTATATACTGAATTGGTGGTATTTCACTCGTCGATTTAGTGTGAAAAAAGTCTTTCAATAATTTCCAGTATAATTTTTGATTATTCTTATTAGCATCTTTTAGATGAGAATCAATGTTATCGTAATAATTAGTTATGGCATGTTTTTTCATGTTATTAACCTTATTTCGTATTTTACGATAATTGTTGCGATCAGATTCTGTTTTAGTTTTTTGTGCTTTTTTCCTAAGTCTATTGCGGTCACGAATAGTTTTCTTTAAAAGAGAATCCATCCATGGTTTATTGTTTGGTCTTATGGTTATTGTTTTTTCGGGTATGCATTGGTGAATTATAGAATTAAACTCTTCTGTGAAGTTTTTTGTAGCAGACTCCAGACTTTTCTGTATCATCAATAATGCTATTCCAGTCACTTTGTAATATGAGTGTATTTAGGAGTTCTATATCTGCATGCTTGTAATCCCATACTTTGCGTTTGTATGCCATATTAATGCTGTTGTTCTGATGAATGTATATGTATATCACTAAGTGTATGAGCAACATTTAAGGTGCCAGAATCATGTACATGTATATTTTCACCGATAATTATAGGATCTATGAGAGTGCCTGTATAAGTATAATGTTTGTTAATCTGCAGCTTTCCAAAATTGTATTTACTTCATGTGATGTATTTAGTTTTAAGAAATCAACATTAAGGTCACCAAGTATTACAATATTATTCGAGGTATCACAATTTTCCTTCCGCAATATTAGCGCAATCTAGTTATTATTCAATTGATAATGTCTGTTACCTTCACCTTCTCAATTTAAATCCAGGCTGCATTTATCTTGGGTACATAGTGTTTATTATATGTTCACCGATATTAGCCGGAACTGCCTTTGTTATTAATTCAAGCCTGACAATTTTTTGATTGAGCCCTTTAAAATCTAATTAAAAATCAAACACTAGTACCTATCATATTGAGGACATCATCGAGGATAAGGATTCACAACATGGAATATCAGTTTAGTTTGACGACTTTCCTTCTTCTAAGTATAATTTTTTATATTTTATAGATATATATTTTTTTACTTTAAAAATCGCTGTTCTGTTTAAAAATGTAATATGTTTTACGGTGTTACCGTTGGGGCGAGCGCAGTTTATTTATTATCATAAACCTACACATGTACTGTCTATCATTCAAGAAAAAGAAAGCAAAAAGAATAAAACAAAACAATAAAAAGAAATCATTTCCCAAGCATCAGGATCGAGATTCCAAACTTCTCGGAAGTTTCCGACAAAATCGGAAATACCCGAACCGTTGAAGTGACGAAAGTTCTGTTGACTTAGGACGCAAACGCTAGTTTTATGGAAAAGAGATTGCATTAAATCGTTCTTTTCAAGTAAGTTGTTGCTATGTTTTAGCCACCATGTTGCTATGCACCGCAACATGTTTTCTGAGTCTCACGGAAGCAACCGACATAACTTCGTCAAAATTCGTAAGTTTCCGGTGACGTCATTTGTATCATTTCCGAAGGGCAAGGTGAAGGCCGGTGTTGTGGCATGGGGGTATTTTTTTGAATAAGGTAAGGCAAAATCATTTCGTTGAGATTTCGGTAAGAAACAATGTTCCTTTAATTTTTTTACTATTTTTGATTTATTCGCGCAAAGGACATTGGGTAGTGCAGGAATTCTGGGAATGTTGCACAGAGAAATTTGGCTGACGTATGTACAGATTTCAATCCGAATTTCCTCTGTTCATACACGTTAGTCTATTGAGCTCGCTGCGCTCGCTATAATTTTATCATCTCATGGTTTTGAAATATGAATTTTGTGTTCATGTAGTTGATATTGCGTCCTGGAAATCATGAAAACTGTTAGTTTATAATGATTATGCGAATATAGGGGGTTGAGATGGGATGAGGTTATACATAGCTCTCCTTCGGAGAAGATTCTTCTATATCATTTGCAAATTTGAATATTTTTGATATTCCCTACAACCAAAATGAATTTGAATTACAAAATCTATATTGGATTCCAAAACGTAGTGAAATCCTGACACACAAAGATATACAAAAAGTTCCAGTGAATGTTTCAAAGCTCTGTTTTACTATTCACTAAAACATTAACAATGGGGGAGTAGAAATCTGAGGAGTAATGTGCAAAAATAAATTCAAAAGTGGTATATATACGATACCACAGCCTGAAAAATATATTATATATATACCGGGGTATAGACAATTTTACTAGAAAATACTTTAATGGTAATCTAATAGCCAAGCTTCATGATAAACGTGACGACTTTAACTTTTCCATCGTCAGCTTCCCTTACTTATCCAGCAATATACCTTCATCACCTGCTTATGGGGTTTATATATTTGAGTTGATTCGATGCGGAAAATAATGCTCTATATATGCTCAATTTCTAAAACGAGGTAAGTTATTGACAAACAAGTTGTTAAAACAAGAATATCAGCAATTTCGATTAAAGTCATCATTTCGTAAGTTTTGAGGTTAATACAATGCCCATGTCAGCAAAAGCAATTAATCATTAAGTCAAACACTAATGTTGTTAATACTAATTGTAAGCCATTATATACAGCTGTTCACATCATATACACTGCATTGTCGTCGGATTTTTTCCGTTACATGGTTCTCTATCATCTTAAATTTAACTGTGGTGCAAGAAATGCGCGAAGTACTAATCTTCGCGGTCATTTCGCAAAGGAATCTCGAAATAAATTGAAAAATACAATAACCATGCATCACTATTAAGTTCAAATATAATTAGCATTTATTATCTGGCAAAATGATTGATAAATTAGATATTAATAATAATAAATTGGTATCGATTTTTACATAGTGAAAAACAAAAATTAAAATACATGCATTTCCACAATATAGACTGTGAAAAGACCCCCCCCTCCCCAAAACACTTACAGTACGTGCTAAATAAATAATTATTTGCTTATAGAGTCGGAAGAAAAAAGTATCAGTAAAAATGATTTTAAGTATTTAAGGCTAATTTAAAAAAAATTACAAAAGCTAATTATGCGCATACAGTGATCATTGAAGGTCAGAGGAAATTCTGGTAGGTCACATAAGACATACATGTGCGTTGTTTTGTGCAAGTGAAATTTTAGAGATATGGTTAACTGTATAACTAATTGATATTTAAAAGTTCCTTTTAATTATCATGAAGTGTGAAAAAGGCTTCAAATGTCCTGCGAGAACTAGAAAAAGATTCATTGTGCGAGCTAAACAATTGGCACTAATTAGATTAAATTAACAGTTTGACATTAGAAACTGACAACGTTATATGATTTTGAGGTTTGGAGTTTTATTTGATTAATAAACCTATATATCTATCGTCCTGACATCGACGATCTGACGGTGGCGCTAATATTTCAACTGTGGCGGAACTATGGCGCTGATTTTTAAACTGTGGCGCAAATGAATTTAGCTGTGGCGGGGCCGCCACGTTAAACGGTCAATGGAGAACCCTGCGTTATTTCCCGGTCATGACGAGGAGCACACGGCAATGAATGCTCACTCTTGCATGGCATCTGATTCCGCCTCTCATTTTTGGAGGCCTATGTTTGCTCTGCTACAAAATTTGAATTGTTAAATGGACTCTTGAGCTTCAATACCGTTTGTTATCTCCATATAATTCGTTTACAGTCATCATTTCTTAATCGAGGTAAATTATTGACAAACAAGTTAATGAAACAAGAATATCAGCAGTTTCGTTTAAAGTCATCATTTTGTAAGTTCTATGATCGATACAATGACCTTGTCGGCAAATAAAATTTAACAATAAGTCAAATGCTAACTTACGTTTTTGGTAATAATTGTTAGTCCGTTATTTACACACTAAATTGACATTGGAATTTCCGCTCATCGCGAAGAGCACACGGCAGGTGTGCCCAGTCGGCAGGGGATGTTCACTCCTCCATGGCACCTTATCTGACCTCTGATGTTTCGAAGGTCCATGTTTTCTCTGCTCCTATTTTGTATTGTTTAATGAACTTTTGAGCTTGAATACTGTTTGTTATTTCCACATATTTCATTTCATGATCAAGGCTCTTGGAACAACTCCGTATTCTATTTAAATAGAATATGATGGGCTCTGTATTTTGTTTTTTAATAGCTTCGTACGACCTTTTCATATCTTGAAAATGGAACCCCCCCCACCCCCCCCCCCTCATAGAAGGGTAACTTCCACCATACGTATTAATCTGATAGACGAAATTTTCCATAATCAGTATTAAACAAAGGCCTTACAATTGGCACAATAAATGAATAGCAAACACATGAATTTCAGAATCGAAATAGGGCTTTTTTTCTAAAAGATTTTTCGAATCTTATTTTAAACATCTCCAGAACTGTAAAATATTCACACTAAAGGTTGAGGCAAATTCTAACTTTACCTCTTTAAGTACACAGGAAGTTTTTTTTCATTAATGGAATATAAATACATAACTTATCGACTTTTATTGGACAGTGAGTGTCCCCTTGTTGGTGTGGGCGGGAGAGTGCTGTAAAGCTCATTACGACATACTTCTGTCCTACAACGAGGAAAAGTGGTGTGACGATTTTTGCTGTGTTCAGTTGGGAAAATACGACTGCTGTAGTAATGTCCTTCTTCAGGCGCCATCTAACCAAAGGAATTCCATTTGCGCTGCTTACTTTTCTCAACATAAGTGGGTGTATAGCCAAATTACTAGTATTGAATATTAAATTTGAATAAGCAAGGACGGATAATTCAAATATGAATATCTTTATTTTCCAAAATATCCCTTCTTTTCAATTTACGATCTTTAGATTAAAATCTTTTATTACGTTATGGGTTAATTTGCTAAAATTATATTTAGAGACTAATTGTTAAAATCTTATTTCTGTTTTTCTTCATTCAAAAGGTGGGTACCAACACTCATTGGACTTGGATGTCTTGTTGTCATTGTTGTAGTCATTGTGTGCATCTGTAAAGCGTGTTGTTGTCAGCGCAGAGCAAACGGTGGAGTTATTCGCGGCGCAGCCCCAGGTAAAAAAAAACCAGAGGATTTTATGTTTAACACAGAAATGGCATTGTAAAAAAAAAAATAATCTATTACTGAGTATATTTCAATATAAACATTGTTTCACATGTATGTCATGAAACGAGAAATGAATTAGTTTCCTCAGCTTCTAAGAATATAATTGTAATCACATTTGTGTTCTGTAGGACTAACAGTAGTGAACTTGAACTCTGGATTGACCACACCTCAACAACCCAGTTATCCCATACAACAACCAGGTTATCCCATGCAACACCAGCCTAACGGTCTGATGCAGTCAACACCAAGCTATCCAGCATAATATGATATACTAGTAATTCTTTAAACGGTTATCTGAATATATCATGGGATTGATATTGTTTGAAGTTTGATAAAATGTATTCTTTCAATCGCGCATAGTAATGACTTTTACACACTACTATTTATTTTAGGCATTTTGCAAAAATTTCTTTCCTTTAACGTTGTAGAGATATAAACCCCACATGCATGTGATACAGGTATATTGTTGCAGAAGTAGGGAACTAACATTCCTAGATATATATATTTAATTTTTTTTAATCTTTTACATATATTCCTTTGGTAAAGTGTTATCATTTATGGTATCTATCAAATAAAATATCCATGAAACAATAACTTTAATGTGTACTACGCAGTTTGATAGTATTGATAAGGAATATTTATATTTTGTACATTTAACACAGAATTTACTAAATATTATTAAAATACTGTTGTTAGGCAGCAAATGATATGTATAGAAATGTGGATGTGGATTTTGATAAATTTACATATTGTTACCTATATATCTAACTATCTATGTTAAAGAACTTCGATCCTCCTCGCGGCACACATTCCAATTCGTATGATGACAGTGAGGGAATCAGCCGAAGTTTGCCGAATATCTGATCCTCTTGACCTTTTGTCAATAAAGTGTGTTTTTTCAGCAAATTGAAATTATCTTTCCTACTTCTTATTTTAAGTCATGAAGATATTCTTTAAACATGGCATCTCTTTACCTTTAGATTTCACTTATAATAATAGTAATAATTTCACGTGCTTTGAAATATCGAACACCTTACGTATCCAACAAGTATTTAAATATTTCCGACCAGTAGATCTCGTTTTTAGATTAAGCTTTTTTTTTCAAGGTTTGCATAAGAATTATGCAAAAAATACAAAAACACGGAAACGTTTGACATATTTTTTGTCATGTTTGTTTATCATCTCTCCAATAGTTTTACCAGATATATTTTATGCTTTCGTATTTTAGTATGAAATCAACTAAATCAATAAAATCCTTTTCCATGACCATAAACACAAACAAAAATAGATTTTTCATAATTTTTCTGTTCCTGATTTACTTCCCTTAATGGAGAATTACCTTTACAGTCAGGTAACCAGCGTTACCTGGCCGGAAAGGTATATATTCCCCAGTCATGGAATGCCTGTATGCCTGGACGACTTTCCTCTTTCTAGGTATTATTATTTTCCATCTTTAATTGAGATAATCAAATCTCGGCTAATTTATTCCACAAAAGATTGTATAATACATGATTGCAAGCTTAATTATAGGATTTTTTCAGACTTAAAGGTGTATTTTATATATCACTTTGTATTCAAGAACTGCATGGATTGCTTATGTGCATGGAGAAAACAGAATAAAGGGACACAAAATTTCACAAATAAATGTCATTGTCAATGAAAAATTGAAATTAGAGTTCATTGATTCATCTACGTAGAAATTATTTTACACCTAAAATATGCTTATAAAATTTGATGTATTTTTTCACAAAATATAGATTTCTGTTTTTGTTTAAACATTATCAAAAAAGATGAATCATTCATTGAATTTGGTTTTAATGTAACTTCCGTCTGTCGTCCTTAAATCAAAAGCTCATAGAAACAGATTTTATCGCGAAATGCAAATCATTCAGACGCATTACAGAATTACAACTGGGTGCAAAATTTGGTTAAATGGATTTTTTTATGCGTAGATTTTGCAACATCATAGTTTAAGAAATAGAAGTGTGTTTAACCTTCTGCATAAAAGCAACTTTATCATACTTTTCTTTTGCATGATAGCAATATCTTCTTGGGGAATTTATGTCATGTAAATTATCTATTTAAAAGTCAATCATCCTTTTTATCAATTTACTTTCTTTATTTTAATTTTAAAATCTAAATAAATCGCAAAAGAGCTTTCTTTTTCTGAGGCTTTTAAACCGAAAGAAGATTTCTCAGAAACGTTCGTATCCGTTTTTAAAAAATTCAATATTTTTACCTATATCTATACTGATAATGAAATTTGCTTGTTAAAACTTGTGCTGTATTGGTAATTTTGAAAAGGTGATAAATTTGTTTTTTATCGTTATAAGCTGTACTGGTCCTTCCTACCTGTCTATTATCATTATAAGCTGTACTGGTCTTTCATACCTGTCTAGTATCATTATAAGCTGTACTTATCCTTCACACCTGTCTATTATCATTATAAGCTGTACTGGTCCTTCAAACCTGTCTATTATCATTATAAGCTGTACTGGTCTTTCATACCTGTCTAGTATCATTATAAGCTGTACTTATCCTTCATACTTGTCTATTATCATTATAAGCTGTACTGGTCCTTCCTACCTGTCTATTATCATTATAAGCTGTACTGGTCCTTCAAACCTGTCTATTATCATTATAAGCTGTACTTATCCTTCATACTTGTCTATTATCATTATAAGCTGTACTGGTCCTTCCTACCTGTCTATTATCATTATAAGCTGTACTTATCCTTCATACCTGTCTATTATCATTATAAGCTGTAATTATCCTTCATACTTGTCTATTATCATTATAAGCTGTACTGGTCCTTCATACCTGTCTAGTATCATTATAAGCGGTACTGAATTTAAAGGTTGTTTGTCTGTTGATTTCGTACTAACAAAATTATCTCTATCGGAGGTTATTATATGAAGGTTAACATACTACCCTTACTTCAGAATTATCTATTAAGTAAGCTTTTAAAAGTTTTTACATACTACCATAAATTGGTAACCGCTCATTGTTGCTTATTGGTAGGACGTTCTCTTTGTATTTGGCAGACCCGGGTTTGATTCTCGTTCGCATCACCGCTTCAAAACCTAAGACCATAAAAAAACATAGGAAGTGACTGTTCCTTTGTCAGGATTTTGAGGGTGTTACCTTAAAGGTCCTGTGCCACGGTAACCGTTGGCGCGACCCCTCACTGTTTAATGGCCCTAAGTGTCATGATAAGGTTTAAATTTGCAGCTATTCATCAGTATATATTGTAACATCGGTATATAAGTGAGAAAAACATACTTGAATGGGGCATTAAAACAAAATATCCCGTGGTGTAAAATGATGATAAAAAATAATTTAAAATCAAATTAAATCATACAATACATTTCTGAAATTTCCGTTAAGGGTCATGAAACCTTAGATATATAAAAGGTACTTGTTGCGGTCAACGTTATTTTTAATGTTTAGAAATTTAAGAGAAATACTGTGGTATGCAGTCGAGGACACGGTGCAACGTCTTCGAATGAAGTGGGCACCTCCATTGAATCTGATCCTACTTCCGAGGGATCCAGAAAATAAAGTTATTTCCCTTGTCACCTTCATTGGGTGTACCCACCTATTGTTTCCCTCTCTCAATGTTTAATTTGCTTGATTTTAATTTGAAATAGTAGAATATCCTAAATTTTGTGGAAATTGTAGTTCATTTGAGTTTAATAAACAGAATAAAGAAACAAAACAAAAAATCATGGCGAATTAAAAATTAAATATTGAGTTATAAGTTGACTATCTAGTCGATATGAAAAACAGCAATTACTTTATTTATATAATTAAGTAAATATTAAGTCGTTGAATTTACAACAACTAGAAATTGAAAAGATAACTTCTCTACCTTTTTAATAAGACATAAGATAACAGAGAATCTCACATTGTAATGGACTTCTAGATGAACAACAAACACTTCTCATCTAATATTACCTGATAAGCTTGATTGTAATATGATTTAGCTTTACGAAAAATCCGTAGAAATGGTAGAAGGGTTGTAAATAGTAGGATTTGTGAGCTAGTGGGATTGATTGTAGTTAACAGGATGATTTAGCTGGGAGGGGGTTTAAGTTGAAGAAATTATAGATGTAAGGATAGGTTGTAGATGATTATAAGTTGTAATTATGAGGAAAGATTGCAAATGACAGGAAATTTAGCTGGTAGGAAGGTATAGTTAGTAGGACGAGTTGTCTATGGTACGATGGGTTGTACATATCTGATAAGGAATTGTTGGTGGTACGACGGGGTGTAGATGTTCTAGGGGTTGTGGATGATTATTAGATTTTACGAAGATTTATAGATGATAGGAAGCTTTAGCTGGGAGGAGGTTGTAGATGATAGGAAGCTTTAGCTGGGAGGAGGTTGTAGATGATAGGAAGCTTTAGCTGGGAGGAGGTTGTAGATGGTACGACGGGTTTTAGATCTATCCTTCTGTGTTCAATAATTCAGAAGTGAAAAAAAACTTGATAGATTACACGATCAGTATGTACTTGTTCCTGCTGACAAAGCAGGTAACAACATTGTCTTTGTTTGTAAGATTCATTATATAAATTGTAGTTTAGATTGATTGATTGTATGTTGTTTTACGTCCCTTTCGAGAATTTTTCACTCATGTAGAGACGTCACCATAAACCGGTGAAGGGCTCCAAATTTTGAAATTTACTCGGCACTCAGGGCCATTGAGTAGTGAGGGATCTTTAACCAACGCCTGCCGTGACACGGGACCTCGGTTTTTAAGATCTCATCCGAAGAACCCGCAACTTTCACTTCAAGTGCCGAACGCATGGTGAAGGAAAAGTTGCTACCCGTTTTTTATCGACTTAGGTCAGTCGCGGCCGAGATATGAACTCACGACCTCACGGTCACGGAGCGAGCGCTCTTGTAGTTTAGAGGAATATGGATTTAATTCTACAAGTGGTAATCAAACTTATTCCCATAGCTCCCTTTCTAAGGAGGAAATTCTTCAAAATCATATATCAGTTTTGAATATTTTTAATATTCCCAACAACCAAAATCTATCTGAATTACCATATCTACATTGGATTCCAAAACTTCATAAAAATCCTTACAAAAAAAGATGCATAGAGGGTTCCTGTAAATGTTCTACCAAGCTTTTTCTTAACTTCTCACTAAGATATTAACAGTAGTGAAGGAGAAACTTCAGGTGTCCTGTGCAACAATAAATTCGAGAAGTGGTGGAAATCAGATGTGGATACTAAAAATTCCAAGGAACTTTTGAAGCATTTGAAATCACAGAATTTTTCCAAAAATCAACAACATAAAAACTTATCAACTTTATTCTATTTCCCACAATAAATGAAAGACCAGGTTTTCTGACATCATTGATAGCTACTTTTTCAATAAAAATGGAACTTGTAAATTTACTTACCTTTTCATTGGTCGTTTACAAAAGTTCTTTGTTAAAAACCAATCTGATTGTACAAATAAGTACTCTGAAGTTGATATTAAGAGGATGCTTGAGTTTGATTGACAATATCTATCTAATTTTTGGAGACCAAGTCTTCCAGCAATCTACTGGAATTTCAACCTATTTCTGTCTTCATATGAAACAGAATTTGTTAAAAAAAAAAACAGTTGCTGTGGCCTTCAACTCGACATTTAGAAATATCAACGACGTATTGTCTATCAACAATGGTTATTTCCATTCTTATGTCGACAGGATGTGTCCCGGTGAG